CTTAAAAAGAAAGGCCGATTTACACCAATTATCGTAATATCATGGTTACAGTTTTCTGTCGGGTATTTTGGAATCGTCCAAAAAGAATTATTATTTTGACGTCTTAACTGCATCATTCGCAATTACAACAATTATTCCGTACAAATTCACACCATCGCGCGGTCTTGGTAGTAATCCTTCTGAAAATTAAGTTAAATTAAATCTGAACTGTGGTTCTATTTTGAAATTCCCCGGATTATGCTGGACAAGACTCAATAAGATCAGATGAAATAATTATGCAATAACTCATATATTCAATTTATTTCGCCTCAATAATTTTATTATATTATATATCGTTATATTTGTTATATTAATTATTTCTATTATATTAGATATCTTCGTTATAATCATTTTAAATAGAATAAAGATAGTAATTAGAGAGTTTGTTTAAAACCCCGAAAATCCGCTTGATCAAAGAAAAAGATTGACGAGTCTTTAGAAAGGACGTCCGAATCTAGAAATAATAAATTTCTCCTTTACACTTTCAACCTTTATCGTTTCTCCATATAAATGTGACATATAACCAACTACACAAAAGAATCGTATTAAGTAAAAGTTGAATAATTCTTTCTTAGAACGTCTGAGTTAGATTTAAATCGTTGTTTGGTTAATCTTGTTTCGGTTCAAAATCGGTTTAACAATTGCTTTGGATAAAGTTGTTGTTGTAGCAGAGTTGGCATACGAATTTAAATCGTATACTTTCTACGAGGCATTATCCAACGGAAATGATTTTTTACAGGTTACATAATCAAGAAATATCGAATCTCATCTATGCTTATGAGGATGAAATAATCATTCAATTTTCAAGAAAATTATGTAGAGGCAAAAGTGAAAAATGTATTGCGCTTAATAACGTACCTACGTGAAACAGTTTGCGGATGGTATGCTTATCTGATCGTTTTTGAATAGGCGTCCAGTACTATTTATTATAGTTTAAAGGCAAGCCCTACCAAAAGAGGTGGTTCAATCTCGAAGGTTTGAAACAAAGTTTAAGATATAATGCAAATTATGAAGGTGATTTAATGTCAATTATGATTTTTAATTTCACTTGATATTTCAGTCTTTGGCGTTTGGTAAATTATTAAATTGATTTTGTGATGTGCTGAAGACGTTATAAACTAAACAACAAAGAAGGAACAGACTAATTTACAAAAGGTCTTTAATTAATATCAAACTGCTGCAGAAACAATAATACTAATGCAATTTAGCTATAAGTAATGGATAAGATTTTAAATTTAAAGTTTAGCTAATTAAACGACGTAATAATTCCTTCTCGAGATTTATTTATAATTGAACATTATGAAATATCAAATTGAAATCAAAAATCAAATCGATTTGACGCCAAAAAATGATCGGTCAACTAGATAGATAATCAACAAAAAAAAATATTTCGCGTAATATATTTTCTCAATTCTTAAAAAATTATAATAAATGAAGCAATTTAAATAAAAAATATATTTTCAAAACCTATTTTAGGCTACCACCACTGCAGTCTTATTAAATTTTTATTAAAAAATTTTAAAAAAAAATAAAATTTTTTTATGGGACTTTCAAATTGGCCACTTGAAAAAAAAAAAAAATCGTTTAAGGATTTCGTTACGAATTTACGAATTAAACGAGTTTCGGGAAATTTCACGGGGATTTGTGTATTGTCTTTTGCTTTTAGTTTTACCTTTTTATTTATATAAAACCCGACAAAATTTCAATGAGGAATTACAAAATTATTATCATTAAACAATAACAACTAATTTGATCTCATTTATTTTTTACCTTCATCGTTCAAGGAATAAATGATAGAACACACGAAAGTGGGAGAAATACTATTTTTATTTCAATTTTCATTTCAAATATAATTAATAGGTGTAGTAAGTTCAATATTAAGTGATTAATGGTTAATTCACGTTGAGGATCATGTGTTCGTAACTCGATTTTAATAGCAAACTCCCAATTGATGGCATCTTTTATTAAGGTCAGAAACAAAATAATAAAATTCGTTGAAATTTTAGAAGCATGACGCCAATAATAACCATTCTGATCGCAATTAACCCAAAGAATATTGTGCGCTAGTGTTTCCTTCTTCTGTTAAAATTTTATACCACTCAAATGCACTTTTATTATTTACCATTTATTTTATTTTATTTTTTATTTAATATATATGTTAATATGCGAATGATTAATTCTAAGATGAAGTACATCTATCTAATAAGTGTAGGTTTGATTAGTTATAATGAGATGCTAGAAATCGTGAATTTATTATTGTATTAGTTTATTACACATTAATTCAAGTATTTTAAATATTTAAGAACACGATCTTTGTTAATGTAATACAGTCAATAAGATCTACGTTCTTTTGTCACACTTATACCTTCGCAATAATAAATTTAAATAAATCGCTTGTGAATCGTCGGAAATGAACCTCAATAATCGACGCAATTATCGGATTTGTGGGAAGCGACAATAACATTTACAAGGTGGCCATAAAACTTGGAATACAGGACACGGTTAGTAGGGAAATTAATGTCTCTTATCGTTAACGTTAAATACAAATAAATTAAAAATCGAGGGTAATTTAAAAAATATCACTCACGGAATTTACAAAAAAAAAAAAAATATAAAATGAATAAAATACCGGAATTTTTATAGTGAACAAAACAACAAAACTTGCTTAATAAACTAAAATTACTTAAAATTTGTAGAATTTCACCTTTTTTATTGACCGTCCCCCAAATACCAGAATTAAGCAAAGCATGAAATAATATATAGGACTTACTTCATACGAGTGGAAATGAGCAGAGTTGCTCTAATATGATACTTTTATGATCGAAGGAACTAACTTTGTAAGACATAAAAAAGTTTGGTTCACTAGCCTAGACAGTCGGTCAATTTAAAATTAAATAAAATCAAAATTGACCGAAAAAATAAAATAACCAAAAACTTAAATTAAAATCCTAATAATCCCAAATTATAAAAAAAGTATTTAAAAAATTAAATTTATAATTATTAATCACTAATTTTACAGTTTACATTAAACAATAATAATGAATTGTAAACTGATTATTAAATTAAGTTTAGATTTAGAGATAAAATGTTTGAATTGAAAAATTAGAGTAAATGATGGAAGTTAAGGCTTGGGATTAAACATTACAGATCAAGTTTAAGTTCTCTTTTTCTCGAGATATTGCTACGCTTCCTGCTTTAAATTATAATTGTATATACTAAATACAAAACTTTTTAAATATGTTTATCGAGTTTTCAAAATCTATTTTGTTACACGTTGGTGAACTCCAGGCACAGGTAGTCACGCTAGTTCCCTTTTATAAAAGGTTGTCTTACTGTAAAAAAAAAATGGTAAAATCTCACATAATTAACGTTAGTATATAATTGCTGTTAATTCTAATAATTAAGAAAGTCATTTAGCATTTTTTTTTTTTTTTTTTTTTATTTTTAAACAAAACATCTAAGATTTTTTCAGATTTTCCAGTTTTATGTAATTATATATATATTTTTTTTTATTAATATTATTATTATTTCTTTCGGGTTCGAGAATTTCGGAAGTACGAGAAATTTTACTTCATTTTTTAACTTTCGAGTTCTTTTCGCTTCGGTCTCAACGATCGAGTTTTAAAACTATACAACGAACGATAAAGATAATCCGTAAAGCTATTTATATTTGTAATTCTTGAAAATTGGGAATTACTTAAAGGATGATATTTGACGTCACTTAAACTTGGGTAATGAGATGATTGTTTGTGGGCTCGTGGCAATAGTAAATTTAAAAATTATTAATTATAAATTTAACATGCAAATCTTCCAAGTTTAGTAGGTTTCCGAAAATTCTGCAAGTAATATTAGTTTTAGTTGGGTCATTACTTTTAAAAGATCGGTACATTCTCAAACGAAGCCTTTAAATTATCTTTGGTTAAATATTTCTTTTTTAACCTTCAAAATGATTTTCAATAAAAAAACAATTATGCCAAGCTTTCATTGGCCGAAATAAATTACGCCATATAAGTTGTCATTTTAAAATGAGTCCAAGAATTCGTTTTACATCGATCAAATCGGAAGAACTATGCAATGAAATCGAGAACTCTAAAATAAAGTATGCCGTTAAATTTTACGTAACTATAATTCAAACTTATTACGCTTTTTAAAATGATATCGGATTATTCCCAGTCATTTTTTATTTGTGTTACAGAAACACCATTTGCATCAATATTAAGGAATGCCCGTTAGATGAGTGAAGTTCTTAACATAAAATCACCAATCAATTGAAGTGTTTGTAGAAAGAAACTCTTGACAAGGCCAATCCAATCTTAGCTGGAAAAACCTCTACCGATAAACAGAAGCCGATTGCAAATAACTTATTAAAATAAGCCTGATAAGGTAATTTCACTTTTTCAATACTAAACTAATAAACACGGTTAATAACTCGTAGAAAAGTTTGTATGTACTTTCGTTTGCGACCTATGATTTGTCCGCAGATTTACCAACGAAAAATTGTTCTTACTGGGATTTACCTTTTCGTTTATACAGAACATTAATTTTGCATCGCTATTGAATGTCAATCATTACTTCATGTTGAAGTAGTAGTAAATTTAATCAATCAAAATTCTCGTCAAAAATGTTATTTATCGATTTTATATTTGTATCACCTTCAGATTTCCAAAATGTAGAATTCCATGATCTCTTTCATCCAAACATTAAAAAAAAAATACAAATACAGAAAAAGATTAACAAAAATAAAAAATAAGGCAGAGAAAGAATTTTTTAGAAAAATTAGTTTAGGTTTCTTTACTTAAAAATAAACCAATCGTTTACTAAATTTAGATTTGTTTATTGATAATAATTTCGGTATTTACATTGAATAAATTATACATTTACTTGATTCAAAGAATAATACAAAATATAATTTATGCAAATATAAAAAATTTCGTAACAGTTTCGAGTATAATTCTTAATTGCATATTTTGCATATTATGGATTTATTAGTTCGGAGGACTATATATGTTTTAGTCAATTTTGATGATCCTCGCTCAAAATTTGAGTCGATACGTAAGTTGGTCTCTTCCGTTACACTCGTCCACCGGACTTAACAATGGAAAATATTAGCGTTAGGACATATAATATTTAATAATCATAGTATCTATAAACTCGGCTAGATTATGACATAAATTTTTACGCCAAAATCCAACAATGAACAAACTTTATCATCTTTGAAATTGACGATCCAAATTTCCAACTTAAAAAAAATCTTTACGTTAACGATAGACAAGTCAATATGTCGCTAGCCTCAACTTGCAGAAATTACGGTCAAAATGAGACGTTAATTTCGTCCATTCGTAATATTATTAAGGTATTATCCTTACCTTGTTTAAATGTTAAGATATTATTTCAAAGTTAAACTTAAAATTTGGTTTAGGATTATCCCTGCGAGAGCATATTTAGGGAATTCCTTCAAAATGGTAAATAGTCAAAATGAAAATATATAACTCTCATCTTGAATGGTCATAATGTTGTTTCTATAATAATAATAATAATATAATAATAATAAAAGCTGATGACGCTGGTGCTACTCGGTTTCATATCATCATCGACGGCCGCTCGCACCCCTCCAACTCTTTACTTTGTAGTGGATTAAAGGAATGGCAGGGCCCCGCTATCTTGATATTCAATAATGCAAGGTTCAAGGAATCCGATTTTGAATCGCTCATGCAAATCCGCGTTGGCGGAAAACAAGATGACGATACAAAGATTGGGAAACATGGATTAGGTTTCAATTCATGCTATCATTTTACCGATGTCCCGAGTTTCATTAGCGGAGATTTTATTGCATTTTTGGATCCTCAAGAAAATTATTTAAACAAACGTGGTACTATCGGTTCACTTCCAAGGAATGGTATATCAGAATTCACTGAACAAGACCAATTGGTTCCTTTTAAGGACATCGAGGGCATCGATTTTCGTTCGACTTTCGAGGGGACACTCTTTCGAATACCACTTCGGAAAAAAAAAAGTGATATATCCGACAGAATTTTTTCTGTAGATCAGATCCTCGAATTATTCACCAAAATTAAATCGAGTATTCCCTCCCAATTTTTGTTCCTTCGAAATGTTGAAACTGTTGAAATTTCCCAAATATCTGAAGCTACGGTTCCGTTTCAAATAAAACCACTTTGTAAAGTAACTATGGAGGGATTGGATGAAACCGTGCGAAATAAAAGAAAATGTGAAAACATCACCAACGACGAATTTCATATTTTTCAGATAAAGACTAAACTAATTGATAATGGAGATATAAATAACAAACAGTACAACAGTTGGATTATCGTTATTGGAGCCCAACGTGATCCTGAAGATCCTGAGCTAATGCAATATGCGCGACGATATCGATTACGCTTATTGGGCGGCGTTGCAGCACCACTTGATAAT